TTTTTAAAGATATTTTACATTTTTCAAAATGAACCACAGTTTTAAGTAACTGTGGTTATGAAGCAAATAAAAAGTATGTTCCCCTGTGTGGTTCAGATACGAGCTTCATCCTAGGCTGAAATGCACACGTGGCATCGACTCAGACGTCTAGGCAAATCTGCCGTCCATGATCAAGCTCCTTGTGATCATTAATGCGCAGCTTCCTCGGCACACACTGATATAATACCCACAACATTGTTAGAGTCCTCTCCAAGAGCTTCTTTTTAAAATATAAAGGGTATTTCACGTACAGGGAGTTCGGACCACAGTTCAAAGTAATCATGCGACCCACATAAAAGATCACACATGATCCTGATAAGTGTGTGTGCTCTGTGACAGTCAGAGTGCCACACTACAGTCCACAAATACAAGTCTTTCACTCCTTCACTGCGTCCTCAGGAGGTTCCTCTCCCTCCGTGTCTGACGCCTCCTCTTTGTCACTGTCTGCCTCCTCCTCTTCTTCCTCCTCCTCCTCTGAGGACTCTTCGTCATTCTCTGCAGTCGGCAGCTTAATGACAATCTCATCATCTGCATCGTCGTCGTCCACCACCATGGACTTCCTCCTCTCCAGGACGGACGGGGTACAGACTGGTGTGGTGTCCTGGAGTCCAGGAAAAAAAAAAAGGAGTCAAACAGATTAATTTTTTTTTGTTCAACAATGTTCCCATGAATCTTTGCAGCTTAGAGGTAAGTATGTAGGTACATGGGTTTTATCACGCAGCCACCGAAAGACACACGCAATAAGCTTAATGCACCACGGTACTGTAGGCACAGTTATCTGACCACAGATCACTGAAACACCGGCGGTCATTTTCAGTCTGAGCCAAAGCTAATCGTTATGATATTCAAGTTTCACTTACAGTACTACACGTCGACGCGTTCATCGAATCCGAGGACTTCTTCTTCGGAGGCACCTGGGCAGCCTGAAAAAATAAAAAAAAAAACAGCACCAAATGACGACAACAGAAACAAGTGTAATTTGTAGACTGTAAATATTAATGGACAGTCTGAGTGACGCCACCCGTCTGTTCCTGCAGGGGGCGCTGGAGTCCCGTCAATAGCGGTCTCCATGCTGGAAATCCTGTCTCAGCTTAACTTTCAGTCAACCTAACGACAGACTGAGAGCTGGAGCTGAGGCGGGTTTTAAGCCTCTTGACAAACAGTTACATTGCGCCCGCCTGTCAATCATGTCAGCTATCAAAAATCCCCCCCTCATGCAGTGTGTGCCAATCGAATCATGAGCTAATCAGACCTAGTTGGGTTTTTTTTTAACCAAGCTGTAAACATGTAAACAGACACTCGATGAACTGCAGGACTTTGCACTTCTTCATCGGCTTCATTTTTCAACACCGGACGTTGCCGCTTGGTATAAATGACCCCAGGGTGCTGCACTTTTTCTCAAGGTGGCCGCTTTCTGCTGCAAACGCTGTCTACTCATTTATAACAATTGAAGAAAGAAAAAAAAAAAAGACACTGGCTCTCCAAATGAAAAAACACCAAATGGACACGGGGCCGTAGGACAACAGCGAAATCTAGAGTAGAAATAAAAACTTTTGAAACATTAAGACTGGAATAAACACGCCAAAAGTAACCTTGAGATATACCTGATAAGAATCTGAATTCATACTTTTTTAATGTTTGACTGCAAAACGATAAACAAACCACTTTTTAAATGTTTGTTTTTGTTTATGAAGTTCACATTAATCAGTTTTAATGAAACCTTAAGGATGTTAGGAGGGAGCAAACACTGATTGGCTTTAAAAAAAAAAGTGCAGATGTGTGGTTCAATTTCGGTCCCAGGGGACAATATTGCCAACATCAATGAGGATTATTCTTCTGATTCAAGTAAATGTCTTAAAGATGAAGCATCCGTCAGAGAAAGACAAATACAGAGCTACTGGGTCAAACAATTAAAAACTTACAAATCCAGGGAAGTCGTACTCAATGCCGTGTGCTGCTAGTCGTTTGCGGAGCTTCGATTCTTTCTTCAGCAGTTTTTCTTTCATCTTCGTGATCTCCTCTTCTGATCGTTTCTTGTTGTAGCGATCCACCGCCGGATAGGAGGGCTTTTTGAATTCCACCTGGGAGCGATCGAACAGCTTCTCGTGCACCTTCTCCGGCGGCATAACGTGACCTGTGAAACAGAAAGAGGCAACATTTAACTTACTGGAGTTCACTTACAAAGTTAAATTATTTAAATCTAAAACTACATGAAGCCTAAAGGGATGAAAAAAATATTCTGTCAACACACCTCAACTATTCACCCAGTCAGTACATTCAGAAACATCACATTGTACAACTCCGAAGTCAAAATGCTGGGATGTTGTATAAAATGTAATGAAACCAGAATTTCATGTTTTCAAAACACTGAAACTCCATGTGGGACTTGGGTTGAGAACTTGAGTGTCACCGGTTCAAGTCCTTGTTCAGACAAAAGGTATTGAAACTAGTGTGGTTACTGGAGAGGTGCCAGGTTCCTGAGTCCTGCTGAGGTGGCACTGAACCCCAATCTGCTGTGTTTGAGAAGCACACCTCTCAATAACAGACTGCAAACTTAATATCCCCATTTAGAGTCTATAGTACTTGTGATAAAATGACAAAAAAAGAAATACTCACACTTGATCAGTCTTTCTCCCATGAGGTAATTGTTCATGGTCTCCGCAACAATTTTGGCCACTTCATCGCAGTCAAACTCTACAAACGCGTAGCCTTTGCTTCCACCTGTCTAAGACGGAAATAGATGAACATCAAACATCTGAATATCAAAGTGTATCTGACTGTATGTTGTCATTGTTTTCTCTGTTTTTTTTTGTTGGCACATGGGTTTTATCGCTCTGCCAATGGTGAGCAGGTGATAAGCTTAACGTGCCGCAGTACTTTAGGCTCAGTTATCTGACCTCAGACCACTTTCAGACACCTGAGATCATTTTCAGTCCGAGCCCAAAATCAGCAAATAAATAAAAATAAAAAAAACAGCTCAAATGTTGATCGTGTTCATTCTTATCAAACTACAGAAGGTATACAATCCTGAGGGGGAAAAAAAACAGAATGTGTAAAATTTTAAGTGTTTTACCTTTTTACTCCTGGACAGCCGAAGCCTCTGGACTTTCCCAAACTGTTCAAAGTAAGTTTTAAGCTGAGGTTCAAACAGTCCGAGCGGGAGGTGGCCCACGTAAATCACTCCTGGAGTCAAACTGATCCCCTGTGAAAAACACATTTCAAAAAAAGGTTACAAAAGAGAATAAATCACAATATCAGCACTTCAGGTTACTGGCTAATTTTATCTTTCAATATGTGCTGATATAACTAGGTTTAACATTTATTTTTTTATACATTTCATTAATAAATGGTTAATTTCTAAGTCAAAATGTGTGTTTCATGGCATTATTGATATTCTGTCCAACTTCAGTAAAACACAATTAATGTGTTTTTATGTCTATCAATAATCTCTAATGATCTATAAATCATGAACCTATAAACAGTTGTGTCATCGTTGTATAATTGGAAAGTTGAACTAATTACTTTGTTTATATTTTATTGTTTTATTAATATTCAGTAAACTGTTTCCTCAATGGTCGCCAGGTGCTTTGGCACGTCGCCACGTGACAAAATGTGACGACACTGTTTCCTTTCACCATCGCAATATAAATTCTCATCATCAAATCATCGCTCTACTAGTCTGAATTATACATAAATACTTATGTTAAAAAGGTTGCTTCGGATGGTATATAAATATATTTATGATCGCTTGATCAGTTAGCAGCTGGGTTTACGTCAACGTTGGGTCACAGATTCTAAAGGGTAACGAAACAAGGTGTAACACCATTTACATTTACATTACATTTTTTTTAGAAAGGTATTTTATAAATGTCGCAATAGCAGAATCCGTCAAAAAATAAATATATCAAGGCCGAGATTGAACCTTACCTTGCGTGATTTGTTCTTCTTCGCTTCTTGAACCTTCTTCTTGAACTCAGACTCTTGTTTTGGGTTCAAAGCTAGCAGCTCCTTGGCCGGCTTAGGAGCTGATTCCGCTTTAGTCTCAGTCATTTCGATTAATTAATCAGGGAAGACATAAACCGTTCAATGAAAATAACACCGTCCACCAACTCTGCACAAACCACGTTTGTGTCTTCTTCTTCCTGCGGCTGCCCATGTGGTGACAACCAACGAAGAGCGGGAGGAAGGTTTGCTGGAGTGATATTTACATGCGCCGCACACAGCGCCAGCCACAGGCCAGGAAGACTCATTGCACTTTCACAAAAAAACATGAAAGTTGGTAAGTTTCTGCCACTTGAAAAATAGTCTTTACACAGGTGTGTCGCATTTTAAATTTCTTGCATTTTAAATTTCATTTCCTAATAATGATGGTTTATTGTCTCCTAATTAAACTATTTTTAAAGTATTATTCTCAGGATTTATATATATTTGCATGTTTTATTTGCACACTACAAAAATCATGTTTATATAGCCTAGTGTTTTGTAATATACAGCATGTATGCTTTAAATGTACTTCCTTCAAATTACAAATGTTTTCTTTGTTTCATCAGGTTAATACTTTTTGTTGTTGTTGTTGTTTTTAATTGATATGAATTTTAATAGTACCTCATATTTTTTTTAAATGTCTTCTTAGATAGGTCTGTTTTATGTTTTCTTATCATTGCAAGGTTAAAAAAATCTTGAAATGGGATTATTAACAGAAACAATAATACACAGTTACTAAAGAAATCTGATTCTGATACACACCTGAATATAGGAGATTAAATTAAAGGAGATCTATTGCTCTTACTGTATTTAAAAATAATTGTAAAAAAAAAAAAAAGATGGAAAGGGAAGGAGGAGCAGAGGAGGAGGTGGAGAGGATCAAAACAAGGGGGTGGAGTGTTTAGCAGTACAATAATGAGGAGAGACAGTGAGTAGGTACAGATCAGACAAACACACAGAGAGTGCAAACAGTGGCTCTGAATTCATGACATGGAAACCAAAATCATCTACTTCACGGTGAACGGAAAACCGGAGCAAGCCGAGTTCCCGGTGGATTGTCCTGCACAGGATGTCAAAGGTACGAGCACAAACAAAATCTTATTTCAATTTATTTAGAACATAACATGGAAAGTGTGCTGTGTCTGTGCAATTCATGTTTTTCAGGATCAATTTCTTCACCTGTCTAAGAATGAGTTCATCTTAATTGACCTTTGCCACACTCCTTTAATCTTTTCCATCATTCAAAAATTCTGAAAGAGCTTAACTATACTTCCAAAATAAGATTGACACTTGTAGATCTTGAGTAGCATTAAGAATTAAAATGCATCAATCAGTCATTGCACAAGCTGCTGTATGAACTGTGTAAGTGTTGCAGAGCCTGCAGATACAGACGGAGGTACAGCTGCCACTGACAGATCCTCAACTTGGTGTCAGTATGGTCAGGAAGGCAGCAGAAAACACCTCACTGCAAATCTCTAATACCATGTAAATAAAATTATTCAGCAGCAGGTTTGTTATCAGCAGTTAGTTCCCAAGCTGATTTTTTTTTTTTTTTCCTTCCTCTGCTGTGTGCATGCTCTGTGGCTCATTCAGCAATGTTCATCCTTTATTTTTTGGTCCTTGTTGCCTTCATTGGATAGGACAGCTAAAGTGACTGGAAATTTGAGAGTAGGGGATGACATGCAGCAACGGGCCGAGGTCCGATAGGCTATCGCCGCTCCCCATCCTTTATTATCCTTGTAGAAGTTCATTCATACATTTTAGAAATTAAAAAACAATCCCCGAAATGGACAGATTTTGCTCTTCTGTATTGCGTTCATGTAGGTTTTCTTGCTCTATTTGTTTAGGGATTTTGATTTTGAACAACAAAGAAACCCCAAACTTGTTGCCTTCACTGTTTTGATTCTACAATAATGATATGATTCATCTATGAGGCTTTAAAAAAGATTTATTAGGAAATCATAGGAATTGGTCACATCTTAAGAACCATTAATTGGTGGCACATGTTTGGATGAAAATATGAAAGTTGATCTGGTAGCTGGAGAGGTAGCAAGGTCACCTCCCGAGTACTGCCCAGGTTCCCTTGAGCAAGGCACCAAACCCCCAGCAGCTGTGGCGTGCTCCCCGCGTAGCAGTGTGTAGCAGCCCCGCTCCATATATCTCTCCACTAATGCATGTCCACAGGTCCTGTTTGTGCATGTGTGTGATTCTGACCTGTGTGTGTGAGAAGCATGTCTCAATAACAGAGTGTAAAACTAGAATTTCCCTCGGGGATTAATAAAGTATGTCAAATAAAACAAATAAAAAAAGGAAAAGGTGATACCTCAAAGCTGTCTCAAAACGTCGAACTCATAGAAAGCTCACCAGCTCTTTACAGAGCTTTCCACTGCACCTGAAGAGGAGCACCCGATGGGCTCAGTATTTTCTCACAGAGTCTAAAATGAACAATTAGACTTTCTTTCCAGATCTGTTCCGAGCTGCAGCCGAGGCCGGACCCCACGACATCCTGAAGCTGTACAACCCCAAAGGCAGCATCATCAACATCTCCCAGAACCTGGAGCCCAACACCTCCAGCTCATGCTACAAGCTGGAGGTGGTGGCTGCAGACTGCAACAGTGAGCCGTTAGGTATCTTCAACTTATTTTTACAAGAAACATCCCTTTGACATGGTTTATTGAAAACGCGCTCACTTCTCCCTCTTTTCTGCTCGTTTCAGGGGTGGAGCTTGCTGGTGCGCTCGGATTTGACCTCTCAGCCATGGAGAAAAGGTAAGTAAGGCTGGAAATAAGAGAACAAGGATGAGCCAACTTGGAACTTTGCACAACCTCATTGATGCTGTGTGATGTCAGGCTGCAGGGCCTGGAGAAGAAGATCCTGATCGAGGCCGGTGAGACTCCTGCAGTCGTGTATGAGATGAAGAAACAGGTGGATTCATTCAGGGAGAAACTAGAGGTACCGGGTTTTTAAGCCTTCAAAGTGTAATTTAATTTATTTGATAACACAGTGGGGTGTATGTTAATTCTTATTCTTTACAGATGAATGACCTGAGCTAACTAAAAAAAAGAAGTAGAACGCAATGAGAAAATCTCCGTCACACTAGAACACTTTATTTACACGGTTAAGTCAAGATCAAAATAAAACTGTCTGTGAGCACACTCGGCCATTACATCCATAAATGAAAGCTGAAACTACCGTGCAAAGTCTAGTTGAATAATGATGAAACTTTGAATAGGAGACAAAACAATTTCTAAAACAAAAACAGGTCAGTCTGAGTTTTGGTACACATCGTGAAAATAAATGTACATATTTGGAGCATATGGGGCGGCTGTGGCTCAGTTGGTAGAGTCGGTCATCTCTCAACCGGGAAGTCAAGGGTTCGATCCCCAGCCGATGTCCGATGTGTCCTTGGACGAGACACTTAACCCCGAATTGAGGCGGTGGCGTATGAATGTGTGTGAATGGGATTAGTTACTTCTGATGGTCACTTTAGCAGCCTCATCAGTGTGTGAATGTGTAGGTGTGACCTGCAGTGTAAAAAAAAACAGCTTTGAGTAGTCAGGAGACAAGAAAAGAAATATACAAGCTCAAGTCCATTTACCATCTGAACAATTAGAGTGCAAAAAAGAGAAAAAGAGGGGAGCAAAAAGAAAAAGAAGCCAATCCAACAAACTGCTTCTGACGCAGTAGTATTTTATGGAGATAAGATGATGATCCAAGTTATCCTCTCTGGGTTTTTGTTTTTTTGTTTTTTTTCAGAGTGTGGAGCACCTGAGCTGGCTGGGACTGTTTAAAGACCTTTCAGAGGGAACGCACAAACCCTCCCCGTTCTACCACAAGAGATCTCTGCATAAAACCAGGAAAGAGTGTGAGCATGTCCGGGAAAAGTTTCTTCAAATGAGGCAAGTTCACATGCAGAACCCCCCAGAAAGAAGTCATTGATATAGTCTGATTAGATTTCTGAATATCAAGTAATGATTCCTGCTCGTTGTTGTTGCAGCTCCCTGGAGGTATCCGAGGAAGTGAGGCAGTATTTAAAGACTCCAACCTTTGACAACTGGTAAGTTTAGTAAGTATAAACCTGATGCATTGATGTCACCTGCAGCACAAGGAGTCTTTTCACCTGCGTGATCACTAACAAACAACCAGTGCACCTGTTTTTCTTGCTGACAGTCGGCTAATGACGGTCGTGCCCAACAAGCACCTCTAATGCTGTTCTGAAGAGGATGTGTGCCGTCAGCCTTTTCTTCTGATCGAGACACTCATTTCAATATGAAAGGTCTCCAGAGGGCTCACTAATCAAAAGAAGGTCTTCATAAAAGGCTTAATCAACACACCATGTTTGAAGGGGGCCTCATGGAGACTAAGTGATGCTGCTTTTCTGTGCGGCTTGGCCATCTATTCATTTGTCCGAAAAGCTTTTAAAGTGAACCCGGCACGACGAAGAATGATGGACCGAGACAGGCAGAAGGTTACACAACAATAACAGAAGCTTGGAGCTTCACTAAATCGTTGTGAAGATTCTCGTGAAACCCTGATGAAATTTGCTTCCTGCTAGAGATTTTTTTATAAGACAGGGTTGGCATCCTTTTGGCATCATCGGCCGCTCTGGTGATAGACGATAAGAGATAGACTCAATAAAACACGAGCGTAGTCTCATTGATGTCACCCATTTGTTTCTGAAGAGGTGTTATGAAACGCCATATTGGAAAAGCTCTCCTTAAATTTCAGTCAGTCTATAGACAAAGAGGTGGAGCTGAGGCAGGTCTCTAGCCTTCTAGGCAACAGGGCTTTTCAAAGGGCTTGAACCTCAGAAGGGGGGTCAGGGTCATATCAAGGCAACTTTTGGATAATCAACCTCTATTTTGATGCTATTTTATGCACCTTATTTACACTGAAATGACAAATCTGCTGTTGCTAAATGTTGTGTGTGTTTCTAGGCAGTGGGAGGATGCAGAGATCATGGTGCTCCTGCAGGTCATGTACACAGATTTAGATTTCATAGCCACGTTCAACATCGAGCCCGAAGTGCTGCAACAGTTCCTGTTCGAAGTTTATCGACGATACAACAACATCCCTTTCCACAACTTCAAGCACTGCTTCTGTGTAACCCAGATGGTGAGTGTGTGTGTGTGTGTGTGTATGTGTGTGTGTGTGTGTGTGTGTGTTTGTGCATTACCCTATTTTTATTCATTTTTTTCTGTTCTTTTCTATTTTGAATTGTTGTCTGTTGTTGTTCTTTTAAGACCCCCTTGAAAACGAGATAGTACATCTCAAGGGGCTTATATAAAAATACAAATACAAATACAAAAACTGTGTGTGTGTGTGTGTGTGTGTGTGTGTGTGTGTGTGTGTGTGTGTAAAGGCAAAGTTTAATGGGGATAAATCAAGGAGGGACAAGCCGTCAAAACCTGCAATAACGCCTTGATGGCTAACAGGTGAAGGACTTTTGGCCCTCAGGGATAAGAGGTGACTCCAATCAGTGGACAGCTCTGCAAGTGAACACATCTGTGACCCCCCCCCCCCACACACACTCTTTATTGTGCCATTTATGATGACATGAAGGGTGTACGTTGTAGTCAACTCTCCTCTATTAATGTGCTTCAGAGGAAGAACCTTTTTCGTTGCACAGAAAAGACAGAATACACTATTTAAGACTGAGCTGTGAAAGGAGCATGCAACTTTGTAATGACTTGTTATGAATTGTTGGACCACCTCAACTGTACTTCTCGTGTCTCGTAAAACCGACCAGTAACCCATCTGGTCCACCAGGTGTCTGCTTCTATCAAAGAAAACGAGAATGCGCTGGTCCTGCTCAGTCTGGTCTCTGTTTCCTCTCCTCTGATCAGATGTATGGTTTGATCTGGCTGACTGACCTGAGGAGCGAGATGGACAGCATCGACCTACTCATCATGTTGACCTCTGCCGTCTGCCACGACCTTGACCACACAGGATACAACAACGCCTATCAGGTAAAGACCATCTCTGTGATTTTGCAGACTGCGTTTCCTTGCCGAGCCATGACACAGACGGTGGATTTGATCCTAATTAAGCAGTGTTATTAGAAGATGCACACTTGATATCAGACTGCTGATTCATCAAACCAGCTAACAGGCCGATCACACTCAACATAAACACTGATTTCAGCGAATTAAAGCGAACGTATCAGAACTTTGAATATCACTCTGCTGCAGTTTATAGGCTTCATTTTAAAACGCTGAATTACTGAGGTGCTTCAACATTACTTCTGTCAATCAACTGGATAAAGCACCAATGCATCTTCAGAAATCCGTTTCCATGACCTGTGTTAAAGATAAATCACTCACTCTCAACATTTTTGTGCCGCATCTCATCAAGACAATCAGTGAAGGTCTGCAGCATGACCCCTCTCCATCTCATTCACCTGGTAAAAAAAAAAACCTGTTTCCCTTCCTGGTGCCATGACCTCCCAGTGACACGCCTGCCATATTTGAATGGTTCCGCTCAGGCTGAGTGCTTGGCAAGGTGCCCACTGCCTCCTGGTGTTCAAAAAGAAATGCAAAATAACACAAAACAAAGAACAAAATAGCTCCTTCACTCTGTGTGTGTTTTGCTGTTGGACCATCTTTCAGATAAATGCTCGGACCGAACTCGCTCTCCGCTACAACGACATCTCTCCCCTGGAGAACCACCACTGTGCTGTGGCGTTTGAGATACTGGAGAAGGTAAGGGTGGAAACGTTTAGTCCAAGCTGCAGTTATACGTATATATTTAGAGTTTAGGGATTTGAACTGAACATGGACATGAACAGATCAAGCTCAGTAAGATGCAGACGGTCAAGTATTACACAAACATCTTTTTTCTTTTTCTGTTTTATAGTCAGAGAGCAACATCTTCAGAAACGTCTCCATGGATCAATACAAGCGGATAAGAGAAGGCATCATCAAGTGAGAACTTCTTTGAAATTCTCTGAGCATGCTCATTTTCTCATTATACGTCACCAAAGCCTATTAAATAAGGATTTTTTTGTTACTGTTGTATTTGCAGATGCATTCTGGCCACTGACATGACGAGACACAACGAGATCCTCAACAAGTTCAAGTCCATCCTGCCAGTTTTTGACTTCACTAACAAGGACCACAGAGACGTGGTAGGAGCAGACATGTAACGATAATAAACTGTAAACCTAACGTTTACGACGTGTCTTTGTCCCACCTGGCTAAAAGTGACAGTTGCTGAACTTGTTGTTTCCCTTGTGGCTGTGTCCATCTGTTTTCCATCTGTATGCAGCTGATGATGATCCTGATCAAAGTCAGCGACATATCCAATGAGGCGCGGCCTATGGAGGTGGCTGAGCCCTGGCTGGACTGTCTCCTGCAGGAATTCTACAACCAGGTAACTATAAATCCTACCGTTTTTGTATTTTCTATTTATGTGGGAAAATCTGATTTTAATAAAATATAATCAAAACTCCACTGATGCACCATGGGAGGCAAGAAGAAGTCATTGTCCATGCAAGTTCTGTTTTTCTTTTAAATATATATTTTCCAAAAGCAAGCAAAAAAAAAAGAAAAGAAAACAGTGTAGGTCCACCAGGTGCATGCTGGTCCTTTTACTTGCCTACCTAGCTCAGGTGCAATAACAAAGGAAAACAAGAATGCTAACTTTGCAAAAAATAAACTAAGTATACTAAACAATTTGCAAAAGAAGATATCAAAAATCTCAATTTATAAACAAACAAACACCTAGAATCATCAAATAAAGCAAAATTATTTATTAGAGTCTTCAACTTGTGGAACAGCCGACCAGAGGGGATCAGACCTGTAGAATCAGTCCCATGTTTTATTTCTCTACTTAAGACAGGCTGACAAACTTTAAACCACAAGTGGCTCAAAATGTGCACATTTTGCAATGACAGTAGGAAACCTCCCTGAGGGGGTCCCATCTGACAGCACTCGACGCGTTGCTAAGCATCTCATGCATTATTCCTGTGAAAAACCAAAGTTTGTCAATGAAAGTCTCTGAAGGGAAAATGAAGAGGAAGTATCTTACTGGAGGTGAAAAAAAAAACAAAGGAAGAGGAGTAAGCGGCAGGACACTAAAAGACATGATGGGCATGAACGCTGGTTAGAGGGGCCCCAGATACATTTTGGACGAGGGCCCCAACAGACTCCAGAATCACCACTGGTAAACTAAATACATAACCACATACTTTCAATAAATAAATAGCTGTGACGGCGTGCTCGACACAAACACTCCTTCAAAGCAAACTTGAACACAAAAACAACATCAAGGCAAAAAAAGATGTCAGCACTCACAATGCAGTTTGAAACTTCCAATAATAAAGATAAACAGCAGCTGAATGAAACTGACATGTTTGTTTTTTGTCATATATCAACTTTAGGAATAAAACGGGATGTCAAAATGACATTCTCTTTTGTTGGACTGATTCAAAACACTTGGTGAATCTACGTCTAAACTGTATACACTATGAATACTGTAGTAACTTTCTCCAGCTGTGTCTTCTTTCTCCCCTCAGAGTGACATGGAGAAGCTGGAGGGTCTCCCAGTCACCCCTTCATGGATCGGGACAAGTGACCAAACCTTCATCTCAAACAGGCTTCATCAGATTTGTGCTGCTGCCTCTCTTCATCGAGCTGGCAAACCTCTTCCCCTGCCTCGAGGTACAAGGCACTCTGGGAAATGTAGGAAAACTCACAGAATAAAAAGTGTTGCAGGGCAGAGGGAAAGTTTGCTCACGTTGGGTGCATTTATTTTATTTTTTTCTGCAGCAACACATCATCAACCCGGTGAGGAAGGCTCTGGATTACTACACAGAGATGGAGAAAGCCCTGGAGAGAGAGAAACAGAACCGCGCTCAGAGCGAAAGCAGCCAGAGAGTAAGGAGACGTCTGTGGGCTCACAGAGCAGACCAACAGCCTGACTGATGATCGACCTGAGGCCTCCAAAG